TCTTTTTAAACTATTGACTGAAAACCCCTCCAATACTTTACCACTTATGGAGCTACTTGTTACTGTACCTGTGTGGGAGACTACTCTTCAACTCTGATAGCAGGGTTTTTTCTAATGTATCAATAAATGGGGTTAGTTTAGTAAGTTTAAATTGGAGTTTTGAGCTAATCTAGCCAGTGGTTGAATGCTATTGGAGTATTCACATTAGTAACTTGGCGAATGTGAAATGTCATTAAAAAGTATTCACATCAGTGACTGGGTGTGAAAGAAATGATGTCTTCCATCAGGTAGGCCGGTATCTTTGTGCCAGTGGGCATAATTCTTCAGCTGTCACAATATGGGTAGCCATAATCTTTCTGGTTATGACATTTTAGGAAGTGGAGACACAGTGGTTTTGAATACTTTATACAAACTGAAGTCAATGCCTGTAATGCTTGTCATCATATGACCAGAAGCATGAGTTCAGTATTCATCCGGTTATTAGGCTGTCAGATTTTAGTTGGTTTTTTGCTGGCTTCCTCTTTCTTTTTTTTTTTTTTTAGAGCTGAGGAGAAAAAAGGTACAATCAAAACGGATATTTAATATTTATTAATGGTTCTGCTTTTGTGAAGATCAGGTCTGTAGTGATGATATTCTATACTGGTATTTTTTATAAAAATGGAGAAAACTTTTTGGGCTGTTGTTAAGTGTTTTTAACGAAGATTCTTAAGATTCAGTAGAACATAAATATGAATACTGAGAGCTTTTATTGCAGTTTTAAAGCTAAGCCTGTGCTTTACAAGTAATACAAATATTTACAAGTATTGTCTTTTCCTGTGGTTTTGTTTATGTGGGTCTGTTCATGTTTGTCTCTTTCCTCCATGAGTGTCAGTTTTATTTTGGAAGCAGCTGTGAATGAAACTAATCTAAGCTTTACCTATGGATATTTTTGGAAACTGACTTTTTATCTTCTATTTCAAGACAGCCTAGGAATCTACTACTAAACTCAAATAGTTTTTCTTGATTTTTAAACTCGGATAGCTTCAGTTAACTGGCAGTGCTCTTCATAACTTTGTTTTTCCAAAGATGACCTAAAAATTGACCACGATCCTTTCCTGAGCATCACAGAAAGGCTTGGGTTGAAAGGGACCTTAAAGATCATCTAGTTGCAACCCTCCTGCCATGGGCAGGGACACCTTCTACTTGACAGGTTGCTCAGAGCCCCACCCAACCTGGCCTTCAACACTTCCTGGAGTAGGGTAAATCTACAGTTTCTCTGGGCAAGCTGTCCCACTGCATCACCACCCTCACAGTAAAGAAAAAAAGCTTTTGGTGGGTTTTTTTTGAGTGCTACAGAGAATGATCTGCCTATGTATTTCTGTAAAGGTTAGTATAAGCATTCCCTAAATTTTAAGTTTGAATTATTGAGTATCCTTAAGAATTTTTGTGGTTGAAGCTTAACTTGAAGTGCTAAGATTTTTTTGTGCCTTTTTGTGAAGAAATAATCTGCTAGTGGTCTAAAAAATACAGTGAGAAATTCCTCACAATTCATTCACCCGTTCTCCAAACCTGGACTTTGGAAGATGAATGATGTTCTCATCCTGCTTAAATATTTTCATGTTGCAGACAGAATAAATAAATGAAATTTAGATATGCTGAGTCTGTGGTAAAAATGGAAATGTAATTTTCATGGTAAGACTAAGAGAAAGAGTGGCCACACCATGGCCATTGCTTTAGAACTACTGTAAAATTCTTGTAATTTCTGAGTTTAAAATTTCTTTCTGAGGGGCAGGTTTATTTAAAAACGAAGAAAGATGCAGGGCTTTAATTTAATATGGTTTAGAATTCAGTGATAAAAGCTTAATTCTGCTTTCATCTTTTGGGCAGGTGTTCTGGCATAGACCCTCATATATATATATATATATGGATACATCTTAAAATTTTAATTTAAGAATGGGTGTGGGAAGTGTCTCTGTCATATTATTTATCTGTTCTTAAAATATGTAGTAGTTGGATGCTTAAAAATAAGGTGATACATATATATAGAATGCCTGACTATTTTATAACAAGTAGTTACTTTTGAAAGTTCTGAACAGTTAAACCATTTAAAATTCTGTTATTTTCAAAAATTTTCAGCAAATTATTCTGGTTCCTGCCACCCTATTTTCTCTGCTGTAGAACATATTCTTTTGTGTAAAGCTTGTATTGATAATTTTGCTTCATGTGTGCATAGCATTCTAACTAAGTGCTGTGCTTGAGTATGGTGTGTTGGAAGATATATGAGAATTAGAGGAGAGATGACTGCCTTTTAGCTTAAACAGTAAAATTGAATTTTACTCTGATTTTTTTAATTAATCAGGATTCTTAGTTTGAAAAAGAGTTCTTTTGTTAAGATCAATCATTGTGGTTTTTTATTGGTTTGTTTCTTTGTGTTGATTGTGTTTGCTGGGTTCTTTGTTGTTGTTGTTGAGGGTTTTTAGTTGTTTTTAACTTTGGGCTATTTAAAACAAATTTGTAATTTGGAATCTGGAAGAGTACTGCTAAATTTTCACTCTACCCCCCCTTCTGGGGAAGTAACAAGCCTTAGCTGCCTTTTTTATTTTTTCCTGCCACCCCTTTAAGACATAGAAAAGTATTTTTATGGGATAACAGAAACCAATTCTGGAGATTTACCGATTGCTTGGATCAGATGTCAGCAAATGTCTTGTAAATCTGGGGTTTTTTACTGGCCTATTTTGTCTTTTCCATAGATGTGTCTCTGCACTGGAAGTGGTTACCTCAGCTGACTCGCTTCTCTGCTTGACCTTTTAATTGTAGAGCTTGAAACAAAAGCAGTATGTCTGATGTTGGAGAGCAGAAAAATGCCTGTGGTACTACACTGCAGAAAACTTCACAGCCTTACATGCTTTTTCTGCTATTAATGTAGCTGTTTGTCCACTGTTGTACTTTACCAATGTACTTCCTGCCTGCACATATTTAATTAGATACAATGTACTCTGCTCAAGTGCTCATTACTGACTTTGCTCTCTCTAGTCATAACGGGTAAGAGATCCTGCTTTAGCTCTCTGTTCTTCAGTTTAGTTGTATTTGTTCTGTGTTGCTGCTACCTTTTTGTAGTTTGTAGTATTGTCACCATAAAAAGTTTTCCCCAAAGCAGGAAATACTCTAGTTTTATTTTGATACAGATTTCTTAGTGTTTTTTGAATATTCAAGTAGGAAATAACTTTTTTTTTATATATGCCTACAGGTTATAAAGCAGCTAAATGGAGTCTGAGCAGCTGTTTCATAGAGGCTACTATCGAAACAGTTACAACAGCATAACTAGTGCAAGCAGTGATGAGGAGCTTTTAGATGGAGCAGGTGTAATTATGGATTTTCAGACCTCTGAAGATGACAATCTCTTGGATGGTGATGCATCCATTGGTAAGTTAATTTCAGCTTAAAAGTTTCTCTGGGTTGTATTTTTTATGTGTGGTGGGGTTTTTTGTTAGTTTTTATTTTGTTTTGGTTTTATATGACCAAATGTGATCCATTTCTGTTAAGCTAATCTGTCCTTCAGAGAGAGGCATTAAACCTGAAAGGGTTGAACATTCTTCTGTGTGCTTTCCTAACAATTACATTGTGTGGGATGACTTCTGATACAAGGCAGATATTAACATGCTGCTGACAAATGTAAAACTTGCTGTCAAGTAGAAAGATGGCTGTTTTGCAGCTACCTGGTCTTTCTTCTCTGCAGTGGGGTTTTGGAAGTCTCAATGTCTTTGGAAGTCTCCAATATTTCTTTGATGCAAAAATTAACAGGATGTTTTAATCATTACTTCTAGAGATAAATCTGTTTTACTTCATTTAGCTTCACCTCTGTAAAACAGAGGTAAAAGCCGAAAGTAGAGGTGTTGTTAGAAGCAACAGAAAGCACAATATGAGCTAAATTTTTGAGTAGATGAAAAGTTGCGAACAAAACTTTCCAGTGTGAGCATTATAAAAACACTGAAGTAATACAAACAAGAAAGAACTGAGAAGCTCATTTTTTTTGTTGTTTTTTTGTTGTTTGGGGTTTTTTGGTTTTTTTTTTTTGGTTTAAGAAAACAGTTCATGTAGTGAGAGTATTAACATTCATTTAGCAATACTCAAAGAGGTGAACTAAAGGGGAGGGAAAGAAAGTAATTTCTGTTAAAGATACTAAACTTGGTTAAATGTATACTCTGGTCACTTCCTCTCACGTTGTTTAAAATCAAACTCTGCTTCCTGGATTTTTTTGCTTTTTTACTGCCCTTTCCTCTTTTCTTCTCCCATTAGCATTTAGTTTTTTTCCTTCCCTGCAGTGTCTCTTCCTCCATATGTTTTGCCTGTGCTGCACTTAGCCCTTGGATGTTGGCACTGTGCTGATGGTTGTGCCATACCATTATAAGCATCCTTCTTACCTGTATTCCTTCTGTCTAATTAGATATGTCTTGAATGTGCAGTTGTTTAACTTGTATACCAATACAGGAATCACAAGCCAGCACACCTTCAATCTACATATTTCTTCTGGCACATTACATGGAGAACACCAGCATGTTAAAGTCCAGTACTTAAGAGTTGGGAAATTATTAGGTGAACAGCTGGCTTCTGTATATAATTCTTTGTTCTAAGTATCTGGCACTTTTAATAAACTGAGTGCCTTGCTTGTCTAACATAATATTTACAACCTGTACTGAAAGTCTGAAGCTACTCTGGATATTGTTCATATAAATAATTTCCATCACTTCAAGCATGAAGGAGAAATGAGTTTACAGTAAAATAAATGGTTCTCAAAGCCATTGTTCTGCCCTTTACATGTTGTGAAATCAGATCCATAAATTGAGTCCAAACAGATGAGGTGGTGGTTTTGTTTGCATTGTCAAAATCAATGCTAATTGCAATTGCTGCACATGCCAGCAACTCCCATCTTATTCTAACACTGAAGTTACAGAATGTGGGTTGCTACATAAATATAAATGCATTTTCTTTCCTGGAACTTTAATTTTTTGCTAATGACTTACCTGCTTGCCCCAGTTCTGGACTCCCTGTAAGAGGCAGCAATAGTAATTAGCCCTATTATTTTATTTAAGTGAATGGTGATCTGTGTGTCTCTGTACACAGAAAATGTTTTATTGTGCAAAAAAATCATATTTAATATCTTAGTAGTAGATCAGAATCTGATGTTAGTTTTCTTTTTAGGGCGGTAAGAACATACTTTGAAAAATGTTACACATGAACTGCTATTCAGGAGGTGAACATCTGTGTTTCTCATTTCTTAGCTGTCCAAATGAGTCAGGTGTTTTTTCTTCTGTGTTTCTAATATAGCATATCTCATTGACAAGACAAAACAAAGGCTTTCTTGCACATGCCTGTTTTGTAATTTTCTGTAATTTTGTAATTTGTGTTTTTACTCACTTAGCATCGCACTTTTTTTGTATTATTATTACTGTTATTTAAATGTTCTTATCCTTTAGCCATATTTTTATTCTGTTAAGTCTAAGTACGGATGGATTCAATATGGACAGCATGGAATGTTTCCCATCTCCTGAGGCAGGGCAGCACCATCCCAGTAACTGGAAGGTTACAGGCTTCTCAGCACTGCAGGGCCTCCAGAGCAGGATGTGAATGCAGAGGCTTCAGGTCTAGCTCTGTGCTTTAGCAGGTGAACCCTGCTGAAATCGGGACCCCTATTTAAAAATATGATGTGGTTTAAGTCTGTGGGACTGGAAGAATTTATAAGCCTGGTATCTTAGCAACATTAGCAAAATGGCAACAGTGTATCCGTAGTTCAAATGATTGTGGAAGTAATGCAGAAAAATTGAAAGCTATATAGCTGCAGACTGTAAGCTTGTCATACAAGTGAGCACGGACATGAATTTATGCAATCTGCGTAAGTTGCTGTGGATAATAGAGTGCCCATCATAATTTTACAGTTCTTATAATAAAATACAGAATTGGAGATTTTTAAAAAAATCAAGACTATGCAGTAAGGAGAAAACAAAGGATTAAGAAATAGTCTTTCTTTATCTTTCTTCTTTTTTCAGCTAATGAAAATGGAACCGTAAGCTGTACATATATTATGTAAATAAAAGTCTAACAATATGGAATTTCTAAAGTAATTGTAGTTTTCTCCCTTGTTTAGAGGGTAGTAAGTTAACAGAAGAAGTCTGCTTATTTCACTAGGCTTGCTCAGTCCCTTGGCTCTCAGGACAGCAGTTCTATAAAGCTGCACAGTGCTGCTATTCACATTACCACTCATACTTAAGTGAGGTGTAGAAAGCCACTGAAGCTCTTACTCAGTGGTGAATATGCCTTCTGTTGAAAGCACGTGGAAATTGGATGATGTTGGGAAAGAATGCTAACCTCATATACTCCTTGTCTTATGTAGGAAATTCCTTGATACTATATGGGACTAAACAAATGAAAGTTAACTGAAACCAGTAATCAGAAAGTCCTGTCACCTAGACTCTTAGGTTTCTTTAATATTGAGCTGATAGCGATTTGTCTTTTTAGTGTCATCTTGTTTGAAAGGTTGTGGATAGTTCCATGTTGGGTAATCACCATTATCTTAAAACCAATGCTGGACAACAATCTTGTTTTTCTTAACACTATCTGAAACCATGTATGTGACCTGTCCTTTAGTGTCTCATATGAGGAAAATAGAGAAATTGTGATGATGTAGTATTGTAAACCAAATACTTATATATGTACTATGCCTGTTATGTTCCCCAGTAGCTGTTTTCTTTGCATGAATGACAGATTCTCAGTGGCAGTGTTATGCAGAACAAGTAGGTATTATGAAATTGTGAATTCTTTGAGCGTACTATATTTTAACATGCTAAATAATTACATTGCCATGCATGTGGAGGCTTGGATGGCTTGTACTAAAGCCCTGTCTTGAAGGAAAGCTGCCTGTAAGCTTTGAACAAAATTTGCTTTTGTTGCTTATCAAAACTTTGTAGTACTAAAGTTAGTGCTTTTCCTTGTTAAAGGGCTAGCTAATGAGATCAGTGATTTTATGTTGAAATAGAAGCCTCTGCCTCTTTGTGTGGAGGATGTGTTACCAGAGCTTGTACAGAAAATGTACATCCATATCTGTGTGTTATTTTTAGACTGTTTGGCCTGCTTCTTGATAGGTTAATTTAAGGATATTGTACTTAACTCTGGAAAACAATCAATTCTTTAATAGTTAAGTCATATAGGCTAATATTTGCTGATCTAAATTTTGCAGAGCTATACTATTTAGCTTTTAAACAAAATCTTACACTAGGATATTTCATCATCATTGTTTCCCATCAATTTAGCAGAGGGAAAAAAAGAATTATTTCTAAACAGAAATGAAATTTCCAGAATGGAAATATATTATTAGATTAATATTTTAACTATGGAATGTGATGAGAAGATGAAATTTCTAATCAGGTCTTTTTCTCTCAGTGTTTTGCCTTGCTGTCTCTAAAGTTTGAGAGAATCACAATTCTTGGCTATTAGCTGGGCTTGAAGGGTGTAACAAGTCTCTTCAAAAGTTCAGACTTTTTCCTTTTATGACCCAGGGTTAGCCAACTAGTGAGGTGAAACTGAGAGTCTCCATAATTTTGCTCAGAATTGAGAGCTGTTTATGTGATAAGAGAGGACTGTATCAGTTTTGACTAGTTTTTATTTAAGTGTAGGGCAAGCTTAGTAGGAGGTGGATTTTTGTACTGTTGTCAGACTGCACTTTTTTCAATGCACTTTCCTGAAATCAGGTGATTAAACCTTATTTGCAGTAACAATGGTTTGCAAACAAGTGACCTCACTGGTGTTTACATATCGAGGTACTTTGGTCTGTCTGTGGGAATCCGAGTCCTGAATGAGCTTACATTCTACTAGGTAGCTATAGAGATTCTTGCTTCAGCTGAAGGAGTTTAGTTGCTTATATTGTGAGTTCAGTGTGGAGACAGTTTACAATTTCACATATGGTGTTAACATAAAACTGGCAATACTTAACCTTAGTATGACAACCTGTAAACTGGTAATTCAAAAGCTGCTGCTACAGCTGCTACTCTCCTCCTTGCTACTATCTCATTGCTGCTGAAAAAGAAAAGAATATGCCAGCAGGTCAGAGTGTGAAACACTGCATCTCTCCTAAAACCTCCTTAACCATGATTTGGAGTTCCTTGCCTAAAGAGAGAGACCTAAACAATTCATTTTTGGTGCCTTAAATACTGACACTAAAAATCTTATAATAGTGAACTAATATTATGGCATTATGTAACTTTCAGCAAGTGCAGGCAGTTCAGTATAATGGAGAAGTTTGTACCACAGAGGGGGATAATTTCTCAAGCAAGTGCTAGTTATCTTTTTCAACAGCACGTGAATGTTGTTTCAGATGGATGCTTGTTTCTATTTAGCTATTGCCCTTTATAAATAGAAGAAAGAATACAAAGAAAAGAACAAAATAGCTTACTGTTCCTGTTGTATTCTTTATATGTGGAAATTGCCTTAACAGATTCTTCCTATTGTTCACAGCTGATATGAAGAAGAGCCTTTGAAGTAATTTTGCACCACTGGCATTGTTTTTATTATCCATCCATTCCATCCATGTGTTATAAAATTGACTTGACTGAGCAATCATTATGACAGTTGGACATATCACTTTCCTAAGTTACATACAATGTATTTTCCATGTTAGCAGTATTTGCATTAAAGAGCTCATTGCTATTCTTAAGTAAGGAGCATATTCACCCACAAATGCTGCCATACAGATCAAAACATGAGATAACATGATGTGCTGTGATCACAAGGGCAAGTATGAGGCATAGCAAATTTATGGAATTAAATTAAATTGTCAATTACTAGTTATAATTTACTTTTTTCTGTTGGATTGTAGTTAGGCTGCAGAGGTTTTGCCTGTGTTTCAAACTACTAATGCAGCTAAACACAGGATATCTGATAGCATCAAACCATGATTTCTTCTACTTTTTTTATTAGTAATGCCTGAAGTTGATTTTGCTTGCCTCTCTGGAACAGAAATTGTGATGGTTCATGGTTCACATGGGTAACTGGGCTAATTAACAAGGCTCTTCTTCAAGGATTTAAAGTCTTCTCAACACCCCTTCACTCCTCCCCTTCCCCGCCCCCCCCCCAGCTGACTAGAAGATTCTTCGTTTAAGGAAAAAAATGTTTTATCTTAAGTTATGAGATGTCATTATCAAATGAGTGAATTTCAGTGAGTATCTGTTTGTTGTGGTAGTGATTTCTTGAACTCTAATGTTTGTTTGGTTGTTTTTTTTGGTTTTTTTTTTAGTTATTGTCCAAAATGTAAATTCACTTGATATTTTTGCAGTTGAAAAGGCTGTAATTGTGTTATAGCATTAGTTTAGGCCTTCAGATTATAAATGGATTGGTGTGGCATTAGGCTTTCTGAGGGATGGAAATTACATCAGTGTGTATGTAGAGTTTTAGTAACCAAGTAGTTTCTTGTTCTCTTAAATGTCTGAAAACAAATAATTATCATTTCAATTTCTCAGAAATACCATGGTCAGCTCTTTGAGAACTTGTTTGTCAACCCTAGTAACAGTCCTTGGATGGTCTTACTAGTCCTTCCTGCCAAAGTTTTGTTTAGCAGATGAGCCTGATGCTCTGAAAGAAGATGAATTAAAATACTAATAATCCATTCTTTTAATCTTTCTGATGTTATATAATTTTGTTGGCTTCCTTCTGGAGCTCTTCTGAAGTGCTTAAAGCACATTGGCTTTGTCAACAGATGCTGCTGAGGAAGTTATTCCCAGCCTGACAGCTTGGTGTAGTGTTAGTATGTGTGTCCTTCTCCCAGACAAATGGTGTGAATAGTATAAAATGAAGGAATGAAAACAGAGGAACAGAGGAAGTGTGATGGCATATATGTAGAAACGTGAGTCTGAAATGTAAAATAAAATGATTCAGCATAATATGTCTATAAAATCTTTAGGAACTAAATAGACAAATTATTTTTTACAGATTTAATAATATTTCATTTATTAATTTTAGTTTTGATCTCTCAAGTCAGTCAAAGAAG